TTTTCTTCATTACCCATTCAAGCCGTCTCCAGCCATTATTAGTCTCAAAGTGGGTTCCTCGTCATCGAATTTGCTTTAAGGTTTGAAAATACAGATGTCAATTTGTGTTTTTTAATAGTTTTTTTTTTTTATGATGTGGTGTCTGGTAATTGTCACTCACTCACTGTTAGATTAGAGGATGCCTACTTGGACTTGAGATTATTACATAATGATTTTACTCACCTGTTTTAAAGATTTAAAATCTCTACCCTCACAATTTGATACCCAATAATATTTAATTATCAGATATGAAATTCTGAGGAGAACCCTGGTTTAATACTCAGCTGATAGCTTTAAAATCACACTAGTATAAAAACCTAAGACAAGGTGACAACTGAGGATTAATCATCAGTAGTTCACAAAAGAATGTTTTTCATTGAACTTAAATATTGCCCTGCAAATTCATATGTTCATGCAATGAAATTTTAACAGAATTTCAAGTAACAGCACATACCATATTCATAGGAGGGGAAAAAAAATCAAAAGCTTATAACTATAACAAAAAAGAGAAAGGCCAAAAGACAAGTCTGGATTTAGACATTTCAACCTTAAATCTGTTACCCATATTATTCAAGATCACATTTTCATCCACTTTATTCCATCATTTAGACCACCAATTAGAAGACTAAATCTCTGACAATTTTGAATACCCACAAGTTCTTCTCTAATTCTGTGCTTCAAATAATATAAGACCAAAGCTCCAAGCATTACCCGTAGCTTAAATTTCTCACTCTTGTTATTACTAAGATATCACAGAATAGGGTTAACAGAACTTATGTATACTTCTATTGACTGTTTCATGTCTTTTTTGTTTTGTTGAGGATATTAATTATTTGGGTGAAGAAAATAATGTGGACTTCTTTTGATAAAGAATTACATTAAAAGTTAGCTCGGGAACTCACACTGTTGGGATTGAGGAAGGACTTAACTAGATTGTATGAAGGTTGGATGGCAGAAATCAAAATTTGAATTCCGTCAAAGTGGACCCTAGTTATTAATGCAATGCAGTGCCTCAGGAATCAGTGCTTGAGTCTTTGTTGTTGTTTTTTTTACTTACATAAATAATACTTAAAGGAGCATAATATTTAGTAAATTTGCTAATGATATTAAACCTTTGAATATTTTTACCTGTATTAAGAAGGTTGAGGTATTACAGAATGACTTTGATTAATGGATAATCTCAACAAACATTTGGCAAATTACCTTTAAGCTACAGTAAATGTAAGGAAATGCATCTAGATTATTATAATGTGAATCACACATTTAATATAAATGAGAAAAAGCAAAAAACTCAGTAGCATGACTGAAGAAAAGGGTAT